AGGCTGTTTCAGAACCCGGTGGGAGGAGGACACGTGGCTGCCTGACAGAAGGGGAACTCACCCCCTCCATCTGCGACCCCGTTTTGGTTTTATCCAGACTGGGATGGCGGATGGCACCGTTTTGTGTTCTTTCTGCCTTCCTTTTCCATATTTCTTTGTATGTCTGTGACTGCAGGGCGATCCTGGAAAACCCAGCGAGTCTGACTCGAGGAGTCTGAGGACCAGCGACAGAGGCAGTGATGACTGTCGAGGAAAACCAGTTGTCCTATTTTGTTTTTACTGTACTTTTTACTTGCTCACAGTCTGCCAACAAAGACTGCTCTAGAAACATAGCGCGCCATTCTTCCTCACTTGGAAGCCGCCACACTAGGTTTTGCCAGTGGTCAAATTTGTTTACAGGTTTCTCTTCTACGAAAGTCGAACCGGGCCACTTGGAAGCACAAAGCCTCCTCTGAGAGCTCCTAGTTTGCGAAGGAAATTTTTAGATAAAGTCAAGAGTCTATATATTCAGATTGATGTATTTCCTAGCAGTGAAACTAATTAGGTCCTAAAATAGGACCAGTTTTACTTTAGTTAGCACCCTGAAAATAAGGTGGAGATTTTAAGATTTTATTTTCCCTTCAGTTAAAGAGAAACTTTTAAAATCGCTATTGATTTTGTGCCTCTCCTATTACATTTTAAATGTAATAGATATGTATAAACATGACATTAACCAGGGTTGAATAGACTCCAAGAATGTTAAAATCCAGTATAAGTGAAAAATAGTACGAATCTCTCAAGTATGAGCATGAACTAATGTGTGAGTCTGGAGAACGTGAAAAAGTTTCTCTACGGCATTTCTCTCAAAACTTCTGTAGATTCGCCCTCTCTTACCCCCTCATTTTGTGCTGGAAGAATTAGAAAACCTATTTTTAGAAATTTTTCCTGGTGTTGCCTTCTAGGGATGGAAAAATAGAAACCTTAGACATAACTGCTAAGGTTTATTCATTTTAGCAATACTTTTCTCCTTTGGTTTCATTTCTAATTAGCATTTACCACTTCCATTCCTTCCTTCTCTACATCTGATTTCTTTACAATGCTCCCTTCTGTTTTGCCTTCTCTGGTAAATGCTTCCAACAATTTTAGCTATGACCACTTGCTGCTACTGTTAAGCTTTGGGTCTCATTGTCGTTGGGTAATTTTGAATAAGCTTTTTTTTTTCTCTCTCTGTTCTCTTAGTTGACATGCTGCTGTTCTGAGTTAACGAAAGTTTTATTCTGCCCATGACAGACCACAGCAGTGTTTAAATCTTCAGCATCTGGAATTGAAGTCTTTTTCTTGTGCTGTGAGCAGTGAGGTATGAAGGATTATGCTTTCCATGCAGAAAAATAACAGCAGGGATTTTTGTGGTTACTCAGAATTCTTTCATTTCCTGAGAGTCTCAGTGCCTGTCTTGGCAGTAGTAAAACTTTCCAGCTTCAGTAACTGGAAACACCCACCAGTGGAACATTTCTAAGAGTAAGCACTAGAGCTGATTTTGATGGTGGGTGGCAATTACAAGCTGTTTCGGGTCTAGTTTTTTGAGGAAAGCCTAAGGAAGATGCCTCAGTACTATGAATAGTGTATAAAGATGGATCCCAATAGGTATACCAAGTCTCTATGAAAGATGGCTGAGGATTTGTGACTAATTTTCAGAGTGAAATCCTGCTTTATTTCATTTCTACTGCTGTTGAGTTTTGTTCTTGCCAACCCTGTTATTGTAAATGTAAATATATCATGTAACTTAGATCAACTTTCCTGGTTAAATAATGCTGTTTAAAAGTTAACGTCACCACCAGGTGAGAAAATAATAATGAACAGTCATATACCAGAGACATTTTGTGGGGGTGGAGTGGGTGGGGAATGGGATCAAAAACGGAGGGGAGGGGGCAAGGAAGGGGGAAGGGAAGTGCACAGGACTAGGGTGATGGCACAGGGGTGACTCCGTGATGGGAAACCCACAGGGATAAAAATGGAGATAAAAAAAAATGTACAAAATGATGTAAAAATAAACTATTATATAAAAAAGTCAAGGTCACCAACTCTGAAATACAGGCTATTTTAATGTTGAAGTATCTGATTTCATGAAAATGCAAAACTGCATTGTCTTCTTTTGAATTGGATGGTTTTGAGGTTTATTAAAAACAAATGCTTTGGGGCTTCCCTATGGCATGGAGGTTAAAGTCTCAATGCTATCAAGCCATTACTAGCCTGCAGCATGAGTTCAATCCCTGGCCAGGGAGCACAGCAGACCGCCTGTCTCGCCCGCTGCTCGCCTCAGCAGTGTATTTCAGTAAATCCACCTGTACTGCTTCCCATTCTGTCTCTGGTGAATCCTCTCACCCCCTGCTCCTCTGGCCTATACCCCAGTTCTTGTATGCGTAAATTCTTAAAAAAAAAAAAAAGGAATGCTTTTAAAGTTCAAGCTTATTACAAATACTACAACATAGAAATTTAGAAATAGTTGGCTATGATGCAAGTCTTTATCCTAAATAAATCACTAACAGATTAAATCTACCAGTATACTAAATTAATCAATGTTCAATTATGTTATTCAAAGAAGAACAGCATTAGGAAAACTGACCATATTGTATTTGTAGGTTGGAGTACTGCTAGCCAGTTGCTAAGTTTGTTTTTCCCCCTGCTGGGCACACACTTAGATTACATTTTCAGCCTCCCTTGCAGTTAAGTGTGAATCTGTGTCTAAGATCCAGCCCACACATCGAAGCTGGAAATGATGTGTGTCACTCCCACCTCTGACTCCTAACATTTTCCTGTGCAGACACTTACACTCTCTTGCTCCCCCTTCTGGCCAGTGCAAAGAATCATAAGGAAGACCTAATCCCTTAGGGATGGCAGAGTCCCAAGATGGTGAATCCTTGAGGAACCACTTGGACAGTTACCCCAAGAACATTTGTTCCTGTCACATGGGTAAGTTTCTTAAGCTATTAAGATTCTGAGAATTGTCTGTTATAACAGTTGTCCTACCTTGACTAATACTGACAAAAAGTCATTTGATGAATTCAATACCTACTTTCATTTTTTTGAATTATAAAATGAAAACGGACTCTTTATTAACTCATTCAAAAATACCTACTTTTTATCAAACAACCAACACTGTTCTTCAAGATGAAGTAATATAGGTATTTTCACTTAACAGACGAATGAAGGCAATGATGTTTGCCACAATCAACATTAATGACTATTGTAAGTTTTAGCTAATACATGAAAACTAGAGTTACTATTATTTGAGATGAAAAAATAAGATAGGGAAAATCAACTACAAAATTATTAGAGCAACGAGGTCTTTAATAGTTACCTATTGCAATTGCAGAATATAGTAAAAGTTAGTAAAGTCACAATTCTAACTGTAGAGCGGTGTTCTCGACTCCTTTTCATTTTCCCCCCATGCCCTGGAGGCTGTAAATTGCACCATTCAACCCCTCAGTCACCTTTCCCATCATTAAATGCTCTCTGGACGGAAGCAGCTCCAAATGTGGGCTTGGCAGCGTGTGATTTCTCTCCTCTCCCAGAACTTAGTCAGGTAACTCTTCACTAACTTCGTATTTTTCAGAATATGTTTTGAAGATGATACTGTTTTATTTCTCACTGATAGAAGTGAAAGTTGGGTCCTAGGTTCACTTTGCTTCACCCCATCCCTCAGGCCTCTCACTGTCGTTAAAGAGTTATGGTAATATGTGTGATATCTTACACTTTAGGGAGAGAAGGTGACAGAGTCCTGAGAGCCTTCTTGGCCAGTTAAAGAGCTTATAGCTACAGAGTCATGCAGCCACTTTCAATTACACCGCTTCCTAGCCAGGACCATGACATGTAACCATATAATACTCCCAATCTATTATACTGAGAAAAATTTATTACTGAAAAGACTACACAAAACAGTTTTTGTATACAAAGACCAAAAAATGTGGAAAAGTTATTATTTACAACATTTCCCTTACAGTACATGATAATTTAACAGAATGATAAACAGAAAAAAAACAAAAAACATCAGATAACCTTGTCCAAAGAGTAATACTTAAATGGAAATGAAATTAAGAAAATTCTTTAACATTTTAAAATATGCTATCAAAGTAATTTTATTTCATTTTCCAGAACTACATTTTCTCCCACTTAATTGGCACTAATATTACTAATACACTTTTGAATGTTCACTAAAAGCCTTCCTACAGAAATGAATTCTACATACTGTCTGAGAAAAATACTGCACAAACGCAAAGTGTTTGTACTATTCTAATTGTTCAAAAACAAAAGTACAAGCAACTGTAAGTAGCCATAATAATACAATCTTGGGTGGTCATAAAACATAAAAAAAAAAAAGGAATCAATTGCACTCGACTTAATTTATAAAAGAGTAACATTTCATCTACGAATCCCTCTGGTCACTTTATTTTAAAAAATGCAGAAAGGTCAGTGAGCAGCATAATAAAATCAACAATGGACAGTTTTAGTAAGCACCTTATTTCAGTTGCATAATGGATCTGTGAAATTCCTAAAATAATGAGAATTTATAAAATCCACACATTCAGATGATAAGGTAAAGCTAGTGGATTTTTAAAGACTAATTTCCATTATAACATTTTTGACCTGTCAACGTTTTTTACACTATACAAAAATACTATTTTTCGCTTTTCTTAAAAATTCAGTGTAAAAGCTACCAAAGTAATGCTAAATATCAGAAAAATGTAATAAAATATTTGAACAGATTTTCCAGGATTCCTTAAAAAAGTTCAAATACACATAAACTCATTTTCAAATATATATATATATACATAAAAACCCCACAAGGTTAAGTTTTAAATACCTCCACGAGAAAATGTTTGACTTTATACTATAAGCATGAAATGTTATAGTATATCTTTAAAAAGTTTTCATAGAAGAAAAGAAAGATTCCTCTAACTTCCTTCTCCTATACAGTTAAAAAAATATTATTAACCTGCACATTTCTGTTTTTCAGGTATATCGTTGTCACCAACTTTTGCGTGAAACAAATCATATTATTCCCAGAATCTGTTATTCCTAGTGCCACAGTAGGAAGAAGGTGCACGTGGCCTCGTCTGGGACCACAAGGAAGACCATGCAGCGATAAGTGCAAATGGAGACTGTAACAGTGATTCTTCTAGACCAGTAGTGGTCACCTCCAGTGTAACAGAAGCTGCTTCCAGGGAGAATCGGGCGTTCAAGTATCCGAGTGACCGCCAGTGCCCTGCTCTTTTCTAACTTCGGCAGCTGAATGAATGAGCAGAGACGTGGAGCCTTTCAGGCTACTTGGCTCTGAAGATCCTGGGACCTGCAAGTTGTTGCTCTGCACAGGACCAGTTTCAGTAACATCACTCTTTGGAGTCATCCTAGGTAAAAGCACAAGAGAAGACATGCATACATACCAAGACAAATGTGATGCCAGGAGCCCAGACACTGGCTAGCCACTTTTCATGACGTTTACTCCCGACCAGTGTCCACCTTGCTTTCTGTAAATTCTAACAGTTCAAAATACAAATAATTTAATTTCAAATACAGTTTTTGCTAATGTGAGAAACTTTATCAAACACCACCTATGCATGGTGTCCCATGGAGAATCAAAATAGTAAAACGGGATTCTTGCCCTCAAGTTAGTGACTGCTTTCTTGATTCCCACTACGGGTCAGATACCTTGCAAGAGGTTGGGAACACAAAGATGAACAGGACCTCAGCTCTGCCTCTGAGGAGCTTACAAGTCTAGTAGAGCACAACGGCGTGTATCTGGCCCACTCAGGGGGTGAAAGTGGTTATGGGAACACAGAGAAGGTGCGTGTGGCCTTGTCTAGGACCACAAGGAAGACATTCCGGCTAACCAGATGTTTAGCTGTGTTTGGATCACCTAAGACCATCTGAAAATTCATTAAAGATAACGGTAACATCTTTTCATGTTTAGAAAGTAAAAATATTTTGTGATCATCTTCATATTAAGTGACAAAGACCTGTTAGTACCCTAACATATACTCATTAAAACTTAACCATGTGGGACCCTCCCTGGTGGCACAGCGGGTTAAAGCATGGCACTAAGAGGCTTAAGCCACTTCCGCATGAGTTCGATTCCTGCCTGCCCCGGAGGTGACCACATGGCGTGGCAGACCTCTCCTGACCCGCCCGCTGCTCCCCTCAGCAATGTACTTTGTCGATCTGCCTGTTCTGCTCCCCGCTCTGTCTCTGCCGAAGCCTCTTACCCTCCGCATCTCTGGCCTGTACCCCAGTTCTGTGTGAATAAATAAATAAATCTTAAAGAAAACCCCAAAAACTTAACCATGTGTACTTCAAGTGAATCTTAAACATGTACGCATAAGCAACTTTTAACATTTACCATAGGAATAAACATTAGTTTTCTATGTGAACAACATACGGGAAGGTTCTTAAAACTAAGAATTCAAGTATGAAAGAGTATTACAGGCTGAACTCCAATTTGTTAAAACCAAGCTTCCTGGATTAAGTGCACAGACATGCCATCCTACAGAATGTTTGCTCTGCAGATGTGTCCTGTTAGTGAAATAAGTATAACATGGTCAAAAACAGTCATGACTTAAGAGTGAAATCACGGCTTACCTTCCCTCACTCCGCGCACTTTCAGATACGCTGCTCTGCTCAGCCACAGTGCCTGTGTGGCTTTTCTTGTCAGGTTGTTCCCCACAGAGTCTGGAGCTGGCTGCTGCTGGGGAGGCAGGTTCCCCACAGTTCTGTTCTCTTAACTTGGGGGTGCTTGCTCCATCTGCTCTCACTTCCCTCACTGATGTTTCTGGCGAGGTTTGGATTTCTGCCAGCGTTTCTTGCCCTAAGTAATCATGGTTAGTGATCGTTACTGCAGAAGTGCCATGATTTGCTGTCGCTCCTGTGCTGGTCCCCATGGACTTAGAAATGACCTTCAGCTTGTGGGAACTTGGTTTGTAGTGCTTCTTTTTGTGTTTCACTTTGGAATTGTGCTTTAAGAAAAATTCACATGACTCCTGTAGTACTCTTCGACTTTCACTGATTGGGCTGTAAGGAAATTCAAAGACAGGGTTTACTTGATAAATATCAAGTAGTACCGAAGTCACAAGGCAGAGTATATCTTCATTCATTAAACTTTGAAATTCTCTATTTCAAAGTATTTAAGTGAATTCTTTTATGCAAATACTATTACTTGCTTTTCTCAGCATAATTAGTAAACTGGTAAGACGTTGAATAGGCAAAATTACAGGAGGGCAAAGAAACTTAAACCAGTACAGAGTAGGGGTCTATACCATGGTAATATATCAAATATAAAAGTAAATCAGAAGAAAAAAGGTGCAGAACATAACAGGAGTTTTTTGTTTAAATTTGTTTTTTGTTTAAATTTGTTTTACCTTAAAATTAGCAAGTTACACTGAAGTTACTATGGGCACTTATGTATGGGACAGACATATTAGTGCCAAAAAACTATTTAAGCCGCGTTCAGTGTAATTCTCCAGTCTCCAAAAATTTATCTGTGAGAAAGCCAGTTTTAAACTTTTTACCACAAAAAAAAAAAAATTCTTTAGTAAAGTTTGTGGGTAACAGTTTTAAAAACTCTTCGTTTTGGACACTGTATTGTACAAAATATACATAGATAACTAAAATAAACTACTTACTCATACATGTAAATCTAGTATATTGCTATAGAATATTCCATAAGTTTGAATTTTTACCATCTTAGGCAAGGCAAATAAGTAAAACATTAAGTCACTACTATGTATAATAAAATTTAAAAGAAGTAAATAATGATCATAACATCACATTTGAACCATACTTTCTTCCTTATATTTGATCACATTTAATCATTTATCATTGATAGAGAAGGATAAGATCCTAAAAATGCTGCACCCAAATTAACCAATCCAATGAGAGCAGAAGTAATAGCGGATACATTATAGGTCATGGAAAGGAAACACATTTTATAAGTCGTTCATTTCAATATAATATATTTCAAAGTTTCATACAATAAATACCAAAATAAAGTTATCTCTCATGACAAAGATTTGTAAACTGGAAACAATAGCTGACATAGTGAAATTCCAGTGCAATGATGACTTAAGTAGTCTGGTATGTGATCTATTTATTTTAAACAATGTTGGGTAATTCAATAGGTTCTTACTCTCTCTTGCGATTTCGCTTAAAAAACCCAGCCCATTCTGTGCATGTCTTTTTGCTTCCAACCCAGAAGACAGCAGAGATGCCAACAATTAATGTCATCAGATATTTTATCATAAATAAAGCCAATTCTGGTCGAGTTTCTGTTTTTGCCTACAAAAAAAAATAGTGAAATACAATTTTAAGTAACATAGTAAAAGTAGAAAGAAAGTCCCATATAGTTAGCATAAAAGAAAAAATAGAAGCCTTCAATCTGTTTTACTATAAAATACTTAGAAATATGACCACAGAATTAAGGTTACTAAAGGGAAAGGGGGAGTGGTAACAGAGGAGGAGGGGCCCTGATGGTGATGTCAGGGTGCTCTGGTGACTTACATCTGAGGGGGTGTGAGCCTGTTGCCCTGAATCAAATACAGTGCTGCCAACCAATGTTACCCCAATAGTAAAAAAACAAACAAAAAACACACACATAAGATAAAACTAAAATTTTAAATAAACATTGTTTGACATAACAAAAATAAACAGTGCTTTAAGCATAATATATTCTTTCCAAAATTCTAAACAAAGAACTATGGGTAAAAGACTGCAGGCAAGTGAAACTGTTATCCCCACATAAGGGCATAAGCCAGGTTCTACTATGTTAACAATGCATTCTCCTTCTAGAATATAAATGATGTACATGACATTCAGCTCATACATTCCTTGATTTGATAAACCGAGATCATAGCACTCATACTCAATATGATTAATGCCACATATATTTAAAAAAATACAAAATTTATAAAAAAAATTCTCTAAAAAAGTTAAGATACTTTGAGGAATATTTTTAAGATATCCCCTGCTTTTTAAATGGTAAACCCACCTTACCAATTATACCCAATAGAAATATGTTTGTTTTTGTTTTGATTATGCTTTTTATAGTTAAATGATTTGTAGGAAAGTTTAGGCAAAAATCAAGTTTTGTTTTCATAAGCACAAACTGTGCAAAAAAATCCTAAGTATAATCAGTTTATTCAGACAATGTTTCTCTTACTAAGTGAATTAACTCCCAATTCAGCAGTACTTTTCTCCTTAAGACAAGACTGCTGTTCTCACTCTGTTCTGCACTACCATTGATCAGACTTTACAACCGAAATTACTTTTTAAAAGAATAGTGAAAGGAGTCCATTTACTCTTGTAACTAAAACTTAAAAACTCTTGAGACACTTAGTTTTAACTCATGCATGGGAATCATTCCCTAGCTTCACGTTCACTGACTTTTCTCACCTGAAATCTATCTGTTTACACTAACAAGAGCTCATCACAGTATACGTGGCCTATGTCAGAGTTAAATGGTCAGATCACACAAACGACAACTGTTACCTGATAAGGACATGGGATATGATACTGCCGACAATGGTCAGAGACCCACGTGATCTCCCAGGTGATCCTGTTCACTTGCTCGTAGACGTAACATCCGAGAAGTGTCACTAACGGCACAAGATACAGGCCACTGAAAACTCCAATACGAATCATAAATTTCTTTAGTTTCTCTTGGTTCCGGCCATCGTGCTGTATGACTTGTCGAACGTGATTTAAGGAAATAATGCCAGCTAAAAGAAGGGACAGCCCAACAAACACACAGAGGCACAGTGGCAAAAGTACAAAGTAGCGTGAAGCATCCAGGTCATAGAGGCCAACGAAGCAAACGCCACTAATGTTATCGCCTTCAACTTTGTTCATAGCAAGAAGCATAACGGTCAGGAAGCCTGGTATTCCCCAGGCCACAGCATGAAACCACACTGCTTTTTGTTCAATGGCTTCACAACTCCATTTTCTTCCTGCAGCTAAAAACCAAGTAATGGTAAGAATCACCCACCACACGGTGCCTGCCATGGTGAAAAAATACAAAAACATAAACAAAACGGTGCAAGCCTTATTTTGAGAGCCCAGAACAACTGTGTCACCAAGTTCCAGCTTCTCATCTGCCTTATTGCAGGCAGTGCTATTGCCCAGTAAGAATCCAATGAAGTACATAAGAGACACAATGCTGTAACAGACTGAGTAATAGATAATTGGTCTCTCTGGGTATCTGAATCTTTTCACGTCAATTAAAAAAGTGAGGAATGTGAACAGAGTTGCACAAAGACAAAATATTGAAACTATTCCAATAAAACTTTTTGCAAATTCTAGTTCATCACTTTTAAAATACATATTGGGACATGGAGGGGCACACTGGTCAATTCCCAGAAACTTATAGCCTTGTCCCCCAGAAGTCTTCAGGTGCCTTGGACACCAAAATCCAATGTCTCTTTGGACTTGTTCTGTTTTCTTCTGAGGACCAAGAAACTGTGTGTGTGGATCAAAAGTCACAGGAACAGTCTCATCACAGTATTGTAACCTGTAAAGATTAAAAGAAATTAAATATATGAAGTCAACATTGTCATTGATTCATGACTTAAATATTATATTGGCCAATGATAAAATATTTCCTGCCGCATTTGTAACTGACGGAAGACATAAAATCTAAACACACTACAGGTTACAGTCGGGCATGGTTGTTGATGAACATAAAAATTCTCTTACTCAAAAACAAGTTCTTAGTTATTTTTACCTTCACAATTGAATATTAAAGAATTTCTCCTGATTCCAGGATAAAAGTGCTAGCTTGTTTACAGCATATGAAATGTCAGTCTTAGGGAAATTTATTTTCATTTTTAATGCTTACACACAAGATATGTACGGTGATGGCAATTAAATGGCTGTAGTGAGATCTGTTCTTGGATGGATAAGGTGGAGAAGCTCACGGGAGACCTATGCTCTATCCAGGGCAACATCAATGAGAGACAGCTGAGGCCCAACTCAGCTCATATCACCCTGTATTTCTATTCGCATCTTTGACTCCTGTTTATGGGCAGACCTGAAGGCTACCCCAGGATATTTCTGTTTTGTACAGAACTTTTCCACTGAGATGACTTTCTACATTATCAGTGTTATTTTGAGAGACCTATATAGCTTAAAAATTAGTGGCCAAAAGTAGATGACTGGATTAAAAAGATGTGGTACATCCACACAATGGAATATTACTCAGCAACCAAAAAAGATAAACTCATGCCTTTTGCATCAACATGGATGGAGCTGGAAGGGATCATGCTTAGTGAAATAAGCCAGAAAGAAAAGGAAAATACTGGGTGGTTTCACTCATAGCAGGAGTATAAAGGACTGGGGTGCGGGTGGGGGTGGGAAGTAACAATGAACAGCTATATACCAGAGACATTTTACGGGAGTGGAGTGGGGAATGGGGTCAAAAATGAGGAGGTGGTTTACTGTGTACAGGACTATGGTGATGGCACATGAGTGAGTGATTTGGTGATGGGAAGTCCACGGGGATTACAACTGAGATGGAAAAAGGCACAAACTGATGTAAAAATAAATTATTAAAAAAAAAGTGGGTTTTTAATGAGGAAGCATTTTAAACATGCTTTAAATAAGACATAGTAAGATGCATGACCATATAAAGAACACTCATGCAACTAGTGCCTTTTGCAAAACTTAACATACCAGTTTTACTCTCTATCTCCTTAAGTAAAATGAAACACATTACAGATACCATTGGGAGCTCTTTCTGGTCCCTCTCCTCAGAATGTTCAGTACTGCAAGTTTAGTTTTTATTCTCCTCAAGCATTTAACAGTATTACTATGGTGTTATTTTCTAACCATAATGTTATATAGTACTGTTTCACAGTTTTTGAATTTTATGTAAATGATAAATTATGTATGTTTTACTGTAACTTCCTGTTCTTAACACTGTTTTTTAGGTTTATCCCTGTAAGTAGATGTGGGCAACTGCATTGCTTTTATCAACTAAGTGGTGGTATTCTAGTGTGCAGGACATTGCAATTCACTAATCATTTTTCCACAAAGGACTTTTCACTTGTTCCCATTTTAAAAAAATTAGGAATAATATTCTTGTGTATGACTCCTTGTTTGTATAAAATTTTCTATTGTAAGTGATTTCCTAGGACATAGGAAATAAACATCCTCAACTTTACTATATATTAACTAAGAATAATGTGTAAAAGGGCTGATAGTAAGATTCATTTCCCTACAGGCCAGGTAAAAGGAACTAGATACTTTCCTATGTATCTAGTACATTCTATGTTAATTTTTAATATTATTTGATTGGTGTCTGTTTCTCCCATCCTACTGTTATTAACTGAGAACAAGAACCAAGCTTGGTTTTGTTTATCACAAACATTTGATGAATTATATAAACATTTGATGAATTATATAATGGAAGCCTGCCACTTATATTTTGGGAAAATATATACTAATATGAAAAAACCACTCTTAGCTTATAGTAGAAAAGAAAATTTACCTGTCACATTCAAGTTCCTCAGGCCACTGGATTCCAAACGTTTCAATTAACTTTTTGCAATCAGAGTATACTTTTTCACAAAATTTACGACAAGGTGGAACCACGTGAATTTGCTCTACGCATGTTGGTACAAAGGCTTTACAAAGGAACGTTTCAACATTTGGTGAACATTCCAGATTTGCAAGAGGAAGAAAATGCTATTAAGAAAAACAGCAAGGTAAAGTTAGCAAACATTTTAATAACAAATGAATGAAATTAATTCATTTACTGTTTAAAATACATATAGTTAACCTTAGAACAATGCAGGAGTAGCCTACTGGAAGTCTTTACCAAAAATGTAGTCAATTAACCTATATTTTATTTTGCATGTGATATGTACTCCATACTGTACTTTTATAATAAAGCTAGAGAAAAAATGTTTTTGAGAGAATCATAATGAAGAGAAAATAGATTTATAGTACAGTATTGTTTTTATTGACTTCCTAACTTTACAATCTGTTTTACAAGAAAACCAGCATGCAAATGGATCCTTAAAGTTCAAACCTTCATTGTTCAAAGGTCACTTTTCACTAACTCTCTGAAGAAACTTTAAATCTCATTCTCAATAAATGAAATCTTGAAGAGGTAGTTCTGTTCTGTTTAAAAAGAGTTATGAACCCTTCATATACAATACAATATTTTATTCAGTTATACATTTCTCAAAGATATGCTAAAATTGAAATAAATCAAAAGAATGAGGTGATTGCTAGATGAAACAGTACATAAATATTCAATTTATAAGAATATGCAGAAATACCTGAACGGTGCATTTAACAGTCTGGACAATAAGGCCTGTTTAAGGTAGAGGGAACAACATGAAAAAGACTTGAGAACTGTGAGAACATAGTGCATTCAGGGCAAGGAATTCAATATGACTAAAATTATTCGGTCAAATAAAAAGAATAATGGCCAAAGTAAAGAGACTGAAAATGTATGCTGGACACGAAGAACACGAATGGTATGCTGATTTGTTCCAATTTTAAAATTAAAGAAAGGGATACTATTGGAGAGTATTAAGCAGGAAGTGACGCTAGAATCTAATAGTTGATTTTGAATCCTGGCCCCACACTTCCTGACTAGATAACTTGGATAAGTTAATGAACTTCTCTGTGCTTTAGTTCCCTGATCTGTAAAATGATCACAATAACTACACCAGCCTTATAAGGTCACCATGAATACTGAGCTAATAAGTGTAAAGCACTTAAAGCAGTGCCTGGTATATAGTAAGTACTCCAAGGTAGTCACTGTGATGATTATGTTTTAGAGAACAAGGGCAGGTTCTGGATAAGCATTACAGATTGACCTCGTATGTTAATCTCCTTTTCTTCTCCTTGCTTCCTCATTGAAAAGACAAAAGGGAGGAGGGGGGAAATAATAATTAGATTAGTAAGTGAACAGGAGAGAAGATGCCAATGTACTTAATATTCCTAATGAACAAAAGCAAAGCAAAATGACAAAAAGCAAAGCCCCAGACTGTGAAGACAGAAAACCGTTCAAGGAATGAAAAATGACTTCACCGAACAAGGGAGTGGATCACAAAGTAGAAGTAGATGGCAGGGCTCAGCTGCCTCCGGAGAATCCGAGTTCTCTGAAGTGTCAAACAGCACTAAGAGTGGAGGGATTGTTACTGGCCCATTCCTCTCTCTGTCACTGCTCACACTCCCCAACCCCCTTTGAGACAGGAGGCCAGACGACTAGTACATGGTACCAGGCTGTTTCCGGGAGAAATAGAGCTAGAGGTACATGCACTTGGGGACCGGGCACAGAGCAGGGAGAGATGCTGCAGAGAGGAAAGCTAGGGGCTGGATGCCAGTCTGCTGAAGGAGGCGTCAGGCCCTCAGCTTTCTTTCCCCGATCTATCCCCCAAAGGCGACAGTCTCTGTGCCAGAAACTCTTCCCACGAGAAAGTGAAGGGATTCTGCAGAGCTGAAGGTCAAGTACCTGACAATGAAATTTGCCCCCAAATTTGCTCCTTGAGAGGCAAGGAGCAAGTCTGTCTACAAAAACACTGACCATTATCACAAGAACATGGGCAGAGGTACAGAGGCAAATGGTTGGCACAACAAGAAAAGTGGGCAACTTCTGTGCACCTGCAGAACTCAACTGGCATGCTGTTTCATGTATCGACAAGTCATTCTTTATTATAAATTGTGGAGCAATAGTTCATTGTATATATATAGTTCATTGTCCATCCCTGGTTTAGGGCAAGTCTAAGGGGCCCATGGGGTATTTGAGTGTGGATATCTATTAACAGGCAGTTAAACAAGTAGAGAAACACAAGTAAGAGAATGTAGGTTAAAATACGTATTTTAAAGCTATCATGATAAAAACGATTGACAAAAATTAAATTATCGAATGAGAATATGTATAGTAAGAAAAGACGGAAATTCTGATGAAAGAAGAATGTTCAAGACTTATATATTAACATTTCCTCCCTCTCCAAATGCCATTGAGAGTGAAGGTTTAAAGATTAAAAAAACTCACAGCTGTTGAAGAAACAGGAAAAGATCCCATCAGTGAACTATATGCTTTGAGAAAATTATGAAAAGCAAAAGAAGGAATGAGAACTTCCACTTTTAGCAGGGCGACCAAGTAAATATCTCCTGCCACCAAACATGTATTCTGGATAAACTGCAACAATTTTACTTTAAAAACACATTACTGAGCAGTGTATACAGTTAATAAAACGGCCTAAATAAAGTATATAAAGGACAACAAAACCTCAAGGGACACCCCCATGATCATGAGAACTTTCGGTACCTCCTCAGTAAATGAAAGGTGAAAGAGACAAAAAATTAATAAGTAAATGTGAGATTTGATTACAACACTACAATTAAGAAGGCTGATTTAAAGAGCACATACAGAACCTACACCCAGCAATTAGAGGACACCAGCTTGGAGGACTTGGGATCAGTGAGCGGCTGCCTCCCTTGTCCTGGGGTGACTGGGCAAGGCTTGCCCGCTGGCCCCTTTATTTGAATGGGGCTCTGAGACCTGACCCTTGGCCACCTAAGGGAGCTGGCTGGAGAGCAGATACAGCAGAATACTTCCCCGCAGTTTTTT